CCCTTGAGTTCTAATAAGCCCCAGTCTTGGTAGGATTTATTTCCATTTCTCCACTCATGCCTCATACTCGAGCACATTGATCACCAGAAGAGTTAAGTTTGGTTTCATGGTACTTCAAAGTCAGTTTCAAAAACAAGAGGGCTGAAAGAGCTAGGCAGCAGGAGCCTGTGGTCTTGAAAAACTATCCCAGGTTGGCTTTCCTGGCCTCTGGAGACACGGGCATGCTTTTCTGTGCAGGTGAAAGGAACCTGTTTCAGAGCTCATCTTATAGTTGCCTCTCTTGGGAATTTCAGTAGCAGCAAAGAAATAACTTTTGTAGCAACAGTTAAAATTCAGTTAATAAGACTAGTCAACCAAACCTAGACGTTACCAAGAGAAGTATGCCAAAGGTTGATTCTGCCAAACCGGATCTAACAAGCTTGCTCAATGACTGAGCTTAAACTCTCCTATAGTTTGGGGGTGTTAGGGATGTAAGTCTTAAGTGCTAATTTGGTGCAAATGTAGCACATTTCCTTTCTCTTCTGGCTAAAGTTAAAATTGAAATATCAAATTATTTCCAACAGTTAGGAGGGCTTTTCGCCTTAGGCATTGTGTGTGTTGATGACCGCCAAGGAGGATGCGTCAGATGCTTCAAGTCAGTGCCACTCAGACTCCTTTTTGAACAGAAGGGGAAAAAAATTCTGACTTGTTTTCAATATACAGACTTTTTTTTCTTCTCTCATACATTGCATCTCAACCATGGTTTCCCCTCCTTCCACTCCTCCTAGTTGCCTCCTCCTTTCAAATCTCTCCCTCAGATCCACTTTTCCTTATTTTCCCCTCAGAAAAGAGCAGGCCTCCCAGGGATATCAACAGAACATGGCATAACAAGTTACAGTAATACTAAGCACAATAAGACAAGACAACCCAGTAGGAGGAAAAGGGTTCCAAGAGCAGGCAAAAGAGTCAGAGACAGCCCCACTCTTACTGTTAGGCGTCCCACAAGAACACCAAGATCAACAACTATATATATGGCTCAGACCCATATAGTCTCCGTGGTTGTTGCTTCAGTCTCTGTGAGCACCTATGAGTCCTGCTAGTTGGTTCTGTGGGCTGTGTTCTCATAGTATCCTTGACCTCTCTGGCTCCTATCATCCTTCCTCTCTCCCCCTCCTCTGCAGAGTTCTCCTGGTTCCTGCTAAAGTTTGGCTGTGGGTCTCTGTTTCCATCAGTTGCTGTTTGACACCTCTGATGACAATTGGGCTGGGCACTAACCTATGAGTAGAGCAGATTATCATTAGTAATCACTTCGTTCAATCTTTTTTTCAGTCGTGTTTGGTTCTATCCTAGGTCTCTGGGCTGTCCAGACTCGAGATCCTGGCCACCCAGGCAGTGTCAGCCATGCTCCCTCTCATAGCATGGGCAGACCAGTCATGAGACAGCCACTCCCACAAGTTCTGTGACACCATTACCCCAGCACATCTTGCAGGCAGGACAAGATGGTAGGGCAAGGTTTTGTGGCTGGGTTGGTGTCCTAACCCCACTGCTAGAAGCCTGATTATAGAAGATGGTCAGTCAGGCTCTGTATCCTCCATTACTTGGAGTCTCCTCTAGGGTCATCCTCATAGATTCTAGGTAGTTTCCACTGCACTGTTTCCACATTGTCCCTCAAATGCCCTCCCCCAATTCCAGATATCTCTCCCAGTATTCTCTTCCTACCTTCCCCCACACCACCCGATTCCTCCTGTTCCTATCCCCACCCACAGTTTTCTATTCTATTTCCCCTTCCCAGGAAGATCCTCCTTGTTACCTAACCTCTCTGGGTCTATGGATTGTTGCATGACTATCCTTTACTTTACAGCTACTATCCACTTGTAAGTAAGTACATACCAAGTTTGTCTTTCTGGGTCTGGGTTACCTCACTCAGAATGACTTTTTCTACTTCCATCCATTTGCCTGCAAATTTATGATGTCATTGTTTTTAACAGCTGAGTAAAATGCCATTGTATAAATGTACCACATTTTCTTTATTCTTCAGTTGAAGATCTAGGTTGTTTCCAGTTTCTGGCTATTGTGAATAATGCTGCTATGAGCATAGCTGAGCAAGTGTCCTTGTGGTAGAATGGAGCATCCTTTGGGACTATGCCCAAGAGTGATATAGCTGGGCCTTAAGGTAGATCGATTCCCAATTCTCTGAGATACTGCCATATTGATTTCCAAAGTGACTGTACAAGTTTGCACTCACACCAGCAGTGGAGGAGTTTTCCCCTTGCTCTGCATCCTCTCCAGCATCAGCTGTCACTTCTGTTTTTGATCTTAGCCATTGTGACAGGTGTAAGGTGGAATCTCAGAATCATTTTTATTTGTATTTCCCTGATAGCAAAGGATAGTGGGCATTTCTTTAAGTGTTTCTCAGCTATTTGAGATTCCTCTGTTGAGAATTCTCTATATCTGCATGCCATTTTAATTATTATTTGATTTTTTTGATGTCTAGTTTCTTGATTTCTTTATATATTTTGGAAATTATCTCTCTGTCAGATGTGGAGTTGGTAAAAATCTTTTCCCAGTCTGTAGGCTGCTGCTTTGTCCAAATAAAGGTGTTCTTTGCCTTACAGAAGCATTTCAGTTTCATAACATCCCATTTATCGATCTTAGTATCTGTGCTATTGGAAGTTGTTTCCTGTACCAATGCTATTTCCCACTTTCTCTTCTATTGGGTTCGATGTGTCTAGTTGATCCACTTGGACTTGAGTTTTGTGCAGGGTGATATATATGGATCTGTTTGCATTCTTCTAAATGCTGGCATCCAGTTACGCCAGCACCATTTGTTGAAGAAGCTTTCTTTTTTCCACTGTGTATTTCCAGCTCCTTTCTCAAAAATCAGATGTCCAGGGGTATGTGGATTTATGTCTTGGTCTTTGATTCAATTCCATTGATCAACTTGTCTGTTTTGATTCCAATACCATGCAGTTTTTATTACTGTAGCTCTGTAGTACAGCTTGCAATCAGGGATGGTGATACCTCCAGAAGTTCTTGTATTGTACAGGATTGTTTTAGCTATCCTGGACTTTTTTCTCTTTCCATGTAAAGTTGAGTACTGTCTTTCAAGGTCTGTAAATAATTGTGTTGGAATTTTGATGGGGATTGTGTTGAATCTGTAAATTGCTTTTGGTTAGATGACTATTTTTATTGTTAACCCTCCTGATCCATGAGCATGGGAGATGTTTCCAACTCCTGATTATCTTCTCCATTTCTTTCTTCAAAGACTTGAAGTTTTGTTTTTATCATGTAAGTCTTTCACTTGCTTGGTTAGAGTAACCCCAAGATACTTTATATTATTTGTGGCTGTTGTGAAGGGTGTTGTTTCTCTGATTTCTTTCTCAGCCCATTTGTCATTTGTATGTAAGAGGGTTTCTGTTTTTTGTTTTTTTATGTTTGTTTGTTTGTTTTTAGTTAATCTTGTATACAATCACTTCACTAATGCTGTTTATCAGCTGTAGGAGTTCCTTGGTAGAATTTTGGGGGCTGCTTATGTATATTATCATATTATCTGCAAATAATAATACGTTGACTTCTTCCTTTCCAATTTGTATCTCCTTTGTCTCCTTTAGTTGTCTTATTGCTCTAGCTAGAATTTCAAGTACTATATTGAATAGGTAAGGAGTGGACAACCTTGTCATGTTCCTGATTTTAGAGGAATTGCTTTCCGTTTCTCTCCATTTAATTTGATGTTGGCCATATGCTTGCTGTAAATTGCCTTTATTATGTTTAGGTATGTTGCTTTTGTCCTTAATCTTTCCAAGACCTTTATCATGAAAGGGTGTTGGATTTTTGTCAAAAGCTTTTTCAGCATCTAATGAGATGATCGTGTGTGTTTTTCTTTCTTTCAGTTTGTTTATATGGTAGATTACATTGGCTGATTTTTGTGTGTTGAACTCTCCCTGCATCTCTAGGATGAAGACTACTTGATAATGGTGAATGATCTTTTTGATGTGTTCTTGGATTTGCCAGTATTTTATTGAATATTTTCACATCCATGTTCATGAGGGAAATTGGTCTGTAATTCTCTTTATTTGCTGAATCTTTCTGTGGTTTGCATATGAGGTTGACTATAGCCCCATAAAATGAATTTGGTAATGTTCCTTTGTTTCTATTTTATGGAATAATTTGAGGAGTATCAGCTTTAGCTCTTCTTTGAAAGTCTGGCAGAATTCTGCACTAAAACTGTCTGGTCCCGGGTGTTGTTTTTTTTTGTTTGTGTTTTTTTTTTTTGGTTGGGTTTGTTTTTTTTTTTTTTTTTTTTTTTTTTGTGGTTGTTGTTCGTTTGTTTTGTTTTGGTAGGGAGACTTTTATTTTTCTTTCACATTTTTTTTATTGAAACAAGCTTCTTTTACATGTCAATCCCAGTTCCCTCTCCCTCCCCTCCTCCCTGGTCCTCTACTCCC